GGGTCTTCCTCTTTTTCTCTGACCCTCTACATAGTGGTTATAAATTGGACTGCTAACCTCAGGGTCAGCAGTTTGAAACTCCCAGCTGTTCTGCGGGAGAAAGATGAGGCTTTCTGCTCATCTTTATAGCCTCAGAAAAAAAGATGTATAAGCCTCAGAAACCCTGTACTGGGTTGCTATGAGTCAGACTGACTCCACTGCACATAACCACCACCACCACCACCACCACCACTGTCCTTTTGAGGACTCCCTCATGTTATTACTCGTTTTTGTCTAAGATACAGTCACACTAGGAGGAGATAATTTATGAGGTAAAGATCAGGATCAATTTTTAAATATCTTAGAAGATTTGCTGGCCATTGTCTGTCCTGTTCTCTCAAGTTGTGTGTGGGTGCAGCCTTAATAACCTTGGAGAATAAAAAAACACATTGCCAGTTGCAGAATTGGGATGCGTAGAAGTTGACTGATAACTGCACTATGATCCTCCAAGTGGTGGGTGTGCCTTCTAGATCTGAGGGTGAGGGTGTGGTGTACTGTTAGTCAAAAACTGAAGGGAAAAATCCTATGAGGAAATTTAAATTTTGTTTAGGTGCCAGCTGTTGCACCCTTTTAAAGTTAAATTTGACATGTTTCTCTGCTCAGAATATTTAAAGTGACACTGAATCAAGTTTAGTTTTATTTTTTTAAGTTAGAATGAAGCACATTTATCTGTTTTATTTAAGCTATCTAGAACAAAAATAATTTCTCTGAAGGTCTTATTAATTTCTTGGATTAGCATCAATTGTTTAAAATGGATTACAATGGTGTTTATTACTGGCATATACCATAAAATCTACAGCAAGCATGACATTTTAATTCGAAGAGCAAAACCAATGGAATCCTAAGATATTATCTAGGTTAATTAATTGCCCCAACTAATATCTAAAAAGTGATTTCTTATTGCTTGCTTTTGTTTTATTTTTCTCTCCAAATATTGGAGTAATACTGCTCTGTGTGTGTGTGTGTTATGTTTGCTGGCCTAACCCATGGGAGAATTTCTCTCAGTTTGTTCCGTGAGAATGTACCCCACCCTACATTAGCCTCTTACTGTCAAAAGAAAATGGGCTGGACCCTGGCTTTTTATGTAATGTTATGCAGGTTAATATTTGAATGGCTTGTGCAGGAAGAGCTTTCCTTCTGCTCTGTGCTCTCGGCAGGGATTATACTCATTGACTTGAGCAGTCTTCTACCTGTAAGTTGATGTGTTGTCAAAACTGTTTGGTTTTTGCTCTTTATCAATTTCTTGGTTTAAAAATATCTCCAGTAGATTATCTTTTCCATAATCTACCCAGGTGTCTGTTTGGCGTGTGCAAGTTGTGTTCTGTGGGTCTGGGGTGCTGGCTTGAATAGGGGTAACTTTTGAAGCTGAACAAAAGAGCCCCATTAGAGAAAGTTTTTGTAAATTAGTTCCCCCAGCCTCCCTCTCACAAACACCCTCTCTACCTTTCATTAATTGTAATCCTAGAATTGAAATTAACTTTGAAAAATAAAATTTTTCTTCTTTGCTTACAAATCCAATTTATAAAGATCTAGAATTGAGAATTGGTGTATACAATAATAAGCCCCTGGTTCCAAACTCCTGGCTTTTGGACAACTCCTCCTTGTCCTTCAATGTTATGTAAATTTGCCCTCACTTTGAAGTGATTGAACCAACAAATTCTTCATCACAATCACTTTCTCTTGCTGCACATGCATCTTTAAAGTTCTTGAACAGACTGTTCCAGCCTTTTCTTGCACTGAATTAAGACTAAATAAGAACCATGGGCACCTCTCTGGCTTATCTAAAAATTCCACTTAAAGACAGACTTAGGAACTGATCTCATTTGTAACCCAGTACTGCCTGTATTAGGGTTGTTTTATGATCACAAACATTAATGATTTGGGAGTAATATCCGGTTACTTTCTTTTCAACTTCCATGAAATACTGTAGCTACTAGGTATGAGATTTCTGCAAAATCACAGAACTACTTTTTAAATCAATTTGTCTTATATTTATCAAAAGATTTTTCACTCAAGCATTTTATATAAAAAGCAAAAGACAAAAGAAGGGCTTACACAGGGAGCATTATTGCAAATTACAATAAAACCAAGGAAAAGTAGTTTTTGCTGTCTAGATTATTTAGAATTCAAGAAATAATTTGTCCTTTTGGTTTGTTTTTTTTCACAAAATTTCCAGAAATTATGCATTCACATTTCCCTCCTATTGGTAGCTAGTTTAGTGGAACAGGAAATAAAAAATTCATTGTCCTTTAAACCTCTTAAACTAAAATACAAACATCTATGACCCAGATAGGAACAAAAGAACATGTTTTCTGACAAAGTGAACTTTATAATTAAGTGCAGCAAAAAAAAAAAAAAAAATGTTATTTTAGTCTACACATAATAAAGATTTTTTTATGTTATGGAATGGTAAATAAATCTGATTTTTAAATTAAGGAATCTATGTGTGTTGATTTTTATGAACCACGAGATACTTAAAACTGAGGGCATTTCTGTTTTCTTATGTTTATAGTTTCCTTTCTTATTTAAATATTGCAATATAGCTAACTAAGCATATACTGATGACTGATACAGCCTATATTTAAAGGCTTAAAAAATGAGCATATAGTTTCTGAATTCTTCTTGAATGTAAAATATAATTATTCTTGAAAATTCAAACATCACCCACCTTGTTAACTTTTTCTGTTCGCACGAGTTTCATTTGTGGAATAATGTATTATAAAGCATGTGATTTACATTTTGTCTCCACAAATGGCCTAGTTACTCCTTTCCAGCCTTTTGTCACTGTCCGTGGCACAAAGTAGGTCTTTGATGAAAGTTTGTTGAATTAAATTAAAACAATGGCATATGAGGGACTTCAGTCGCATATAGTCTGGCCCAAAGGCATTTAAAGCAGAGACTAAATGAAGCAAGACATATTAGAGAAGTAGGTGCAAATTCTTGCTCTGTATATTTGTTGGATTTTTAAAAACATAGTTGTTGAGCATTTTAAAAGTTCATGTTTATGTCTTCTGCTAATTTAAACCAGGAACTGATGTCTTTGCTCCTCTAATAGACTGGGTTAGACAGAGTTAGGGTGTGCTTGGAGGCAGTTATTTTTAAGTGAGGAAAACACAGTTTTAAGTCTGGTGTGAGTTTGAAGGTTTACTCCCCCATTTGAAATGCTCTTGGGAAATTACATCATATCACTGGCCTCAATTTCCTTACCTGCAACAAGTAGACTTTTTTCTTACTAAACCTACTGAATAAAGATGTTGAGAGAAATAAATGAGATTATATGTAAATGAGCTTTAGAAAATTTCAGTGTGTTACACAAATTTACAAACTGCTACTGTTATACTTAGCAATCTCTGGTCAAAGCATTACCGTGCTATGACTGTGGCACAGATTTTCTTGGATAGATTATTCTTTGTAGAGCATACAGCTTCCCTCCTTAGAAACTTGTTGGTTGTGACAGTTCATAGGAGTTCTGTGTCTGAATACAGGATATTGAAATGCCTTCTTTCTTACATCTTCTGTGCAGGTTTTTATATATCAGCATGATTTCAGTTTTAAATGATTCATTTTTAATTTGTTTCCTCTTTCTAAATAAATAACAATGATCATGAAATAAACATAGTAGGAAAACTTATTTTTTTAAAAACCAAAAACCTATGTTTCCACTGAATGTTTTAGAAAGAGCAGTGAATTAATCAACCTGGAAGTCCTCAAATCTGAAGAAAATAAACCCACCGCCATTGAGTTGATTCAAGTTACCCCCAAATTAGGAATTTATGGTACAGACTAACAGGTTCAAAGGAGACTTTCAGATACTTGCCCTGGCAAGCTGGGAGCCCCGTTTTGTTAAGCTCCCTGTGTGCTCCAAGCAATTGGTGCTGACTTAGATTTATCCTTTAGATCTTTGAGATATGGGTTAAGTTTAAATTGTATGATTTGTCTAGCTAAAGAATCCAAAACCATATCTAAATCACCAGGTTAAAAGTTTTAGCTTGGATAATATTTCTATGAATAAAAATAATGCTTTATGCCCATGTACAATGCTCTGTTCAAAGAAAACTTAAGTTCATGAAAGAAACTCTTAACTTTCCATTAAATTTAGAATTTGTTTGACCTCAAAATGTATCAGGGTTTCTTTAAATATCAAGCTTATAAACAAGTTTAAAATTGGGTTGGGGATGGAGGTGCTCAATATACCTTTGAGGGAGTATGTACATCATTATGCTTTATACCACACCATTTCCATATCCTCCATGAAAGGGCAAAATAAATATGGGTTCATTGGAAAATATATGAAAATGTTTGCTTAGAACAACCTTTGTGAAACGTAAAATGTCAAGTTGTTGACCTTTTTCCTCTGTGTTTTCTGTTCTTAAGGAGAATGCTGCTGAGTACCAGTATTCTGAGCGCTTGCCACAGTCCAGGTCTGCCTGAATTTGCCTGTAGATTCATTTAATTATTAAGAGACTTCTTCAAACCTGATCTTCCAAAATATTTCTTCTCCTCTTTCAGCAGGGAATGCCCCACACTACCACTGCCTGGACACACTTCATCCACAGATAGTACTGTAACTTCCAGTGGTGAGTAGATTGGGAAAGGATTTAATGATCATTCAAACAAAATGAAACAAAGCTGGTGCCATCAAGTCAATTCCAACTCACAACGCGCCCTATAGGACAGAGTGGAATGGCCCCTAGGCTGAAATCTTTTATGGAAGCCAACTGCCACATCTTTCTCTCCTAAAACAGTTGGTGGGTTCAAACCATGACCTTTTGGATAGCAGCTGAGCATTTTAACTGCTGCACTACCTGGGCTCCTGATGAAAAAAAAAAAAAGTAGAACATTGGTATTATAACAATATGCCTGAAGTCCTGTGACCTATTGAGATGTGTGCAAATGAAAATGAAATAGGCAAATACTCCTTTTGCATAGCACTCACACTGTTAGTTTCTTCCTGTTGATAGATTCCAGCTCAGAAATTTTGAGTATGGCTTCTGGTGACCTCAACAGTAGACCACTCTATGAGAAACAGGAAGATACAAGCTCACCTTCTACTGTGACAGAGATTCAAGGTAAGCTGTTGAGGTATTCAAGTATAGTATATTATTGTCTTAAGACACAAGGAAATATGTAAACTGATAAGGAACTATCTTAAGGAGTTCAGAGATTGGTATAGTACAGTACAGTAGAGTATAGTGCAAAGAAGTCTAAAAGGTGACCATGCACTTTATTATATCTGAGGATGCTACCTGGTTTTATTGACATAGTGGGTTAAGTATTGGGCTGTTAACTAGAAGGTCAGCATTTTCAACCCACCACCTACTCCCAAAGAGAAAGATAAGGCAGTTTGTTTCCATAAAGATTTGCAGTCTTGAAACCCTATGGAACAGTTTTATCCTGCCCTCTGGGGTCAGTAGGAGTCCTGGTGTGGTGTGGCATTGTAGGATAACTTACAACTGCTAACCACAAGGGGTTAACACACCACTAGTTACCAGCACTATAATGATAGGATGGGGAAGCTTCCATTTCCACCCCACAAGAAAATTAATCAAGGGAATTTACCTGGGTTATATTTACAGGGTATTTAAACTTGAGATGTAAGGACTAAACTAGAGAAACTGCAAAGCTGCAGAAACAGAATTAATTCTCTGGGTTAATTGAAGAATATTAGTTCACACCTAACTAGAAAATAAAAACAAAAACAAAAAGCAAGATAGCATTTTTCACCTGCCATAAAGACAAAGATACTAAAGTTTCATTACATTCTGTCTTAAAATTTAAAGAAAAATTAAAATAAAATTTCTATGGGGAAAATTGTATATCCTTGGAGAAACTGGCTATCATTTTGTTCTTGTTGCTATTAACTGCCGTTGAGTCAGTTCTGATTCATAAGGACGACAATATAGAGTTTACAAGAAGCGGCTGGTGAGTTTGAACCACTGATCTTGTGGTTCAGACTGATCTTGCAGCCCAGTGCTTTAACCCACAGTGCCACATTATATAAATGTGTGAATAGTAATACATGTTGTAAATATTTTGCTCTTAAAAATAAAGAAATAAAATCTCTCTGTGGCTGCTGCTCTTTGTGCCTGCACTAAACTTTATTTCAGGACAAGAGATCATGTGAAGAGACAAATAATTATTGAGTATGCCACAGTATAAGTAAAATAGAGTTTAGATAAAAGAGATGGTGTGCATTAACACTGGATTTTTTTCTTCTTAATTTAATGACATTTTATTTAGAAAGATACCATAGTGTTAGAAAGATATCATGCTTTGTTGTCAGCCTTACAAATGTAATTTTTTAAGCCTGTTTTTCAAGCAGCAGCTACTAATTCTTCATCCTTCCTTCACCTAGTTTATATTATTACACTAATACCATATTTGATAAAATAAGCAGAATCAACTTAAAAACAACAGCAACACTACCACAAAACCTACTATTTGAAGGCTATTTAAAGAAATCCTACATGATCTAATTTCCGTGTGAACCTAAGCCACTGACTCCATGATTCTAAGACAATGGGCACATTTGAATTTTTGGTACATAATTTGTTTCACATATTAAGGCCTTTGCCCTTACTGACCTGCCCATCTTGGGTTTTTATTATTTCTTCCTCTTTTACTTGGTGCTACTTCCCCGACTGTTAGTGTGTTTTCTTATGTTTGTTTGTTTTTATCATAGGCTCCAGTCCAGCTTGTGACAATATTCCCTTTGAAGGCTCTATGAGTGAGGACAAAGCCATATCAAATCTGGTAAGAAAACATACACATGTAATAAGAGTGATTATATATCAAAATGGTAGAAATGTTCCCTAAGTTTGCAAAGTGCCCTTAGAAACATGACCTTACTTTATCCTTTAAAAATATTATGAAAGCAGTAGTCTAATTTGATCCATATCTTACTGAAAAAGAAGTTGAAGCCAAAGTGTCTTTGTGACTTGTCTTAGATCACACAATAGAGTTGATTCTATAATGATTGTTCACTCATTCACTTACCCATTTACTCATCAGTTGTCTACAGAAACAAGCTAAATACCTATCAGTTTGTTATTGTTAAGTGCCATTGAGTGGCTTCTGACTTATAGTGAGTGACCCTGCATAGGATTTCCAAGGAGCAGCTGGTGAATTTGAACCGCTGACCTTCCAATTCAAACCGACTTGCTCTCCACTGCTTACCCTACAATGCCACACAAGGATTTTTATCAATAGAAGACTGTTTAAATGAATTCATGCATTAATAAATAAAGTTGACTGAAACAGTGATAACCTATCTTAAGTTATATTTAATCAGGCAAAGAAACAATTACTCAATTATTAGAGTGCAATTAGTGATATGAAAAAAAAAGAAAAAAAAGGTTTGGTGTAGCAGACCACAGACGACATCATGGAGAGGGAACCAAGTGAATGGCTTGTTAAAGAACTCATATAAGAAATTTAGACCACTAGTGTTTCAGGCAAATAGAGGTGGAGAGGATGTATATAGAATCACTACTTTTAGGGAAGGCCAAGTAGTTTACCATAGTTGGAGTAAACAGTACATTTATTATTTTTATTGTTAGTTGGGTGAAGGTTTACAGAGCAGATCCATTTTCCACTCAATTCATACACATTTTGTTTCATCTCATTGACTTCAGTCCCCACAAGGAAACATCTTTTAACCCACGTTCTCCCTATATTCCTTACTTCCATTCCTCTTTTCCTAACCCTTCTGAACTGTGTCTTTGGGCAAATGCTACCCTTTTGATCTCAAAGGATTGATTATTCTAAGGTGTGTGTATATCCCTATAGTTGTGGTTCCCCTTATAGACCTATTGTTTGGCTGAAAATTGAGCTATGGGCTTGTGTTCATTTCTAGACCTGAATGGTGACTAAGCACCATAGTCCCAGGGATTCTCTGTCTGACCCACAAGTCTGATCTTTTTTATGGTTTTGAGTTTTGTTTCACATTATTACTTGCATTCTATCCAGGACCTTCAAATGTGATCTCTTTCAAAGTTGCTGATAGGTGGCATTCAGGCACCATGTAGTTATTCTGGTCTCTGGGTCATGGAGACTGATGTTCACTTGATCCCTTAGTCCATTGGACTCATTCTTTCCATGCATCTTTGATTTTCAACATTTTTCTTGGTCCTATACAGGGCGTGACCAATAGTTGAACCTTAGATGGGTGCTCACAAGCTTTTAAGAGCCTAGTTGCTACTCACCAAAGTAAGATGTAGAACATTGTCTTTGTAGACTGTGTCATACCAATTGACCTTGTTGTACCCTGAGACTGTGGACCTGAGCTCCTACACCCAGTGACTCATTCCTTCTAGGTGTTTGCTTGTGCATAAGAAGTTTTCATTACTTGGTTCCTTGTATAACTCCATGGATATATTTGCAGCAATGGTAAATGCTCATGTACAAATATCCTCTGTCAAACCTATGTTTATTTGTAGTTATACTTCTACTTTCTCTCCCACCCACATTCACCTGTGTGTCTGTCCAGCATCTCAATAAACCACCATTATTGCAGAATTGTATATATAACTGTATCTGTCTCTGTTGTCTTTAACCCTTGCTCTCCTCTTAGCATCTTCCTCTATCTCCATCATGTTTTCCCAATCTCCTCTTCTTGTTTATTACCGTCCCCTTCACACAAGTTAGCATATCAGTAACTGACCCTTCTTTCTCTTCCTATCCCGAGGAAACATCAAAGAATGTTTTTTAGTGTGTAAACCTTTTAATGATTTCTTTCAGTAGTTGTCACATACAATTTTTATCCTTTCATGATTGACAAATTTCACTGAAGAATCCTGGTGAGGCACTGGGGATTAATGTGCTGGACTGCAAAGTCAGTTTGAACTGCACTGTCAGCAATTCAAGCTCACTAGCTGCTGCTCTTCAGAAACTCTACAGAGGGTCGCTTTGAGTCAGAACTGACTTGATGGCACTTAACAACAACAATTTCACTCAGCATAATGCCCTCCAGGCTCATCCATGTTGTGAGGTGTTTCATAAATACTTCATTATTGTTTAATATTACATAGTACCCTGTTATATGTATGTAATTTGGTTTGTTTATCCATTCTTCCATTGATGGACACTTAGGTTGTTTCCATCTTTTTGCCATTGTGAACAGTGCTTTGATGAACACGGGTGAGTGCCTACCCATTCGTGCTATGACTCTTACTTCTCTAGGGTATATACCAAGTAAAGGGATTGTGACATCATATGGTATTTCTGTTTCAAAGAAGTGCCATGGTGATTGCTCCATTTTACAGTCCCTCCAGCAGTGGGTCAGGGTTCTCGTCTCTTCACACACTTGTCAGCATTGGTGATTTTCTGAAACTTTGCTATTAATACTGAAGTGAGATGATATCTCATTTCGAGTTGCATCTCTTCTGGTGTGGCACTGTAGAATAAGCACAGGACTGTGAACCACAAGGTCAGTGGTTCACACCCACAGCTACCCCTCAAAAATCCTGTACAGGGTCACTGTGAGTTGGAACTGACTCCATAACACTTAACAACAACATTAACAATGACTAATGATCATGAGCTCTGGTAGTATAGTGGTTATGAATCGGGTTGCGAACCACAAGGTCAGCAGTTCGAAACTACCAGCTGCTCTGCGGGAGAAAGATGAGGCGATCTGCTCCCGTAAAGATTTACAGCCTCGGAAACCCTGTTCAGGGTCGCTATGGGTCGAAACCGACTTGACGGTACTTAACAACAACAACAACAATGATCATGAATATTTCTTCATATGTTTGTTGGCCACCTGAATGTCTTCTTAGGTGAAGTGTCTTAAACAATACATTTGAGATAGTGTATATAATGGAGTTCTGGTGTGGCACTGTAGGATAAAGCACTAGATTGCAAGGTTGGTTTGAACTACAAGGTTGGCAGTTCAAACTCACCAAATGTTCTTCAGAAATTCTATACAGGGTTGTTCTGAGTTGGAACTGACTCAATTGTACTTAACAATAACAATCTAATAGTCAAGAGCAGACCCTGGAGCAGACCCAGAATCTGTGACTCATATTGTAGTTCTCTACTTACAAGTTGCATGGTTTGGGGATTTTATCTATACCTGACTTTTCTTATTTCTAAAATACATAGTAACTGTACCAACTAGGGTTATTGGCAGGATTAGGTGAATTTAATACATGTAAGGTGCTTAAAGTAAGGGTACATACGTGCTGCTGCTGCTGCTGCTGTTTTTGTGGGGGTTTTTTCATTCAGAGAGTAGTGGAAAGATAGAAGCACTAGGCAAGAATTAGATAATGAAGACCCTGCGAAGCCGTGTTAAACTGTGTGAATCTTATCCCACAAGCTCTGTCATTTTACAGTTGGGAGATTTGTGTGTGAAGGGAATAACATAATCAAATTTAGTCATTTTGGGGGCTTTTCTGTTATAGAACTAAATTATTTAGAAAGGACGCTTCCCTGCTCTGACATCTAGATAATGTCCCCTGTTCCATACTTCCATAACATTCTACCTGGTCTCAATCATAACACTGTTTAGCTTGATTGTAGTTATATTATGGACAAAATTCTTGGTCAAATATTGGAATTTCCATTCTCCTTAACTGTCTCTATAATTATTTCTTTTTTACCACATCAGTAAGTAAAAAATAAGGAGCTTTGGTAGCACAGTGATTATGTTCTCAGCTGCTAACCTAAAGACCAGCGGTTCTAACCCACCAGCTGTCCTACAGGAGAAAGATCAGTTTAGGAGGCTGAATTTCCTCAAGGTTACCTGACTTGAGTTTGCTTTTTTAATGTTTGCCTTGCCTGGTGGACTGTAAGTTCTGTGAAAGTTCAGCTTGATTCTACCTTGTCCTCTCTAGAACTCAACAACTTACACAGTACCGGACACATAAACGGTGATCAATAAATGTTTAAGTAAATTGTTGTTGTTGCTAAGTGCCTTTGAGCCATTTCCAGCCCATAGCAACCCTGTGCAGGGTTTCCAAGGTGCGGCTGCTGAGTTTGAACTGCCAACCTTGCTGCTCCAACTGACTTTGCAGTTCTGCGCACTAACCCACAGCACTCCTTAAATGGGACTCCTTAAGTAAATTAGGAGTCAACATAACCCAAGTAAACCCTGTTGAGTGTTATGCAGTTGTGAAGCACCATGCTAACACTGTAAGGATAAAACAAGTTAAATTTGTTTCTTTAATAAGAAGACTCCTCACCACTGTTACGAATGAATTACTGAAGAGTAGCTTGTAGAGTATGGATCAATTCCATTCTGTGTAATCAGAGGTCATATTTATTAATTTCTCTCTCTGTTGAATGCGATGGGTTTTGTGTGCACGCATGTGCATTATTGTTGTCTCCTTGATATATAAGCATTATTTTAGTCAGAAAAATAATGCAGTTTGCTTGTAAGAAACAGACTCACTCAAGAAAACTTACGAGGTGGTTATGACATGAAAACATTTGGATCAATGAAGTGGGAAAAATTGTATAGATCAGCAATCTACTCTCAAGACAGAGGTGTGATTCTTTTTGTGATTTAGAATGACACTTTTGACTGCTCATGTGAAGGATAGATAGGATAGTGTGGACTACCACACATGCTTGAAAGTAGAGGCTCTCAACAAATAATGTTGTTGTTGTTAAGTGCCGTTGAGTTGATTCTGACCCATAGTGACCCTGTATAGGCTTTCCAAGGAGCAGATGGTGAACTTGAACTGCCGACCTTGCAGTTCAAATGACTGCAGTCTGACGCATTAGCCCACAGCACCACACCAGGACTGTGCTGAGTCGAAACTGACTAGACGGCTCTTGACAACAACAGCAGTCTTTCATGGTAGAGTCCTAGAGAGGGGAAAAAAGTTCCTTCTTGGCTCAAAAATACAAGTTAAAGAAATGAAAAGAGTTAAAAAAACTGATGGATTAAAAAAGCATAGTTAAATGGAGACAAGGAGACTGGTTAGAGTGCTATTGTATTAATTTAAACAAGAGAAAAAAAGTGGTCTGAATTGAATGAGAAGGGAGAGATGACTAATTTGAGAGATATTTAGGTGGTAGAATTCACAATATATGTGACTCATAGCAGGGTGTGGGAAAGAATAAATGCCTAGGTTTATGGCTTCACCCACAGAATGAATACAATAACATGAGGGGAGGGACAAGAGCAAGAGTAGAATTTGTGAAATTACATAAAGTTTTCAGACTGATGGTGGGAGACAAGTAGTTTGTAGGGAAATTTTTATCTGTCACTACATCCCATATTTATGATGTGGAGATTCTAAGGCTTACTCATGAGGCTTTCAGGTACAGACTTACTTAGGAAAATTATTAGCACAGAACCAAAAGTATGGATGAGATTTCCTTAAAAGTCTTGCTAATAACATGAGAATAGTAGATGTTGATGAAAAGCATCTTGTTAGACAGGAAAATGCAGATCAGACTGACAAGGAGGGGCTGATACAGAAGAGAAACCAAGGGAAGAAAAATCTTTAAGAAAGAGAGATCTGTAGATAGTTTAGATGCATCAGTGAGATCAAGTAAGATAAAAATTGAAAATTATTCACTGGATTTGGCATTAAGGGGTTCATTGGTAGCCTAATAAGAACAGTTTTCTTGGCATGTTGAGTACAGGGGAAGACTAGTTAACTGAGTGGGAGATAAAAAACTGGAAAGATCAGACCTTGATAGCTCCCAAAGCTTGTCTGTGAAGTACAGGAGAGGAAGAAAATGCCACAGATAGGAGAGGTCATGGGACTGAGAGAGGGTTTGAAAAAATTTGTATATTAATAGGAAGGTTCCAGTGCCTACCTGTACTATTACATTTGTTAAATTTTATCAAAACTGATTTTTTTTTGTCTAAAAATTACATGATGGGCATTGATAGCTCTACAATGACATTTGTCGTCTTAGCTTTTATTTTTTAGTGGAACATCTCTTCAGTTTTCTAAGTTTATTCACTAATCTATGAAGCTTAGTGAATAAAAATAATTATATAGCTATAGTTTTGCATTGGATTTCCCCATGAAAATCAATACAGTTCCATTTGGTTATCATGGTGACTCTCATTCAACAGAAACATATATAGAACAGTTGATTGGTTGTAGGACTGTATTAGTTTCCTACAGCTTCCATAACAAATTACCATAAACTGGTTGACATAAAACAACACTAAGTTATTTTCTCACAGTGTGAGAGGGTTGTTGTTGTTAGGTGCCATTGAGTCGGTACCGATCCATAGCGAATTTAGACACAGCAGAACGAAACATTGCCCGATCCTTGGCCAACCTCACTACTGTTGCCATGCTTGAGTACATCAATGCTGCCACTTGACCAATCCATCTTGTTGGAGGTCTTCCTCTTTTTCTCTGACCCTCCACCTTACCAAACATGGTATCCTTCTCCAAGTGTGAGACGGTAGAAGCCTGAAATTAACATTATCAGCCAGCTCCAGCTATGTTCCCTCCAAAGGCTTTGAGGTAGAACCTGTTCTATAACTTTGTTTTAGCTTCTGGTGGTTGCCAGCAGTCACTGGAATCCCTTACCTTGTAGACTCATTACCCCAGTCTCTGCCTCTGTTTTCATATGGCATTCCTCCCTCTGTATATCTGTTTCTCTTCTAAATCAGAATCTGTCTTTGCATTTAGAGCCCACACTAATCTAGTGTGGAGAGCTGGTGTGGGTACTATAGGATCAGCACTAGACTGCAAATCACAAGGTCGGCAATTCAAACTTACCAGCTGCCCCTCAGAAACCCTATACAGGGTCACTATGAGTTGGAACTGGCTCGGTGGCACTTAACAACAACAACTATAATCTAGTATGACTAATTTCATCTTAATTGCATCTGCAAAAAAACCTTATTTCCAAATAAGAACACATTCATGGGTACCAATTAGGCATGGCTTTTGGAGGAGAAACACTCTTCAACATCGGAGGAGAAACACTCTTCAACACACTACCAAAAAAAAAAAACAACTCAGCCTAAGTATCATGGTGTCCTTTCTGATTTATGGTCACCCTGTGTCATGGTGTCCTTTCTGATTTATGGTCACCCTGTGAGAGTCAGAGTAGAACTTGTTCCTTAGGATTTTCACTGGCTTATATTTTTTGAAGTAGGCCTTTCTTCTGAGGTGGAGTAGACTCCAATCAACAACCTTTCGGTTAGTAACTGAGAGCATTAACTATTTGCCATAATCAGGAACTCCTACAGTGACCTTAAAATATATTCATTTGAAGTAAAAGCCTAGCATAACATAATCTTATCAGCTATTTATGCTATATTAGCCTCAACAACCCATGTAGAATGTCATACGTGGAATCAGTAGATCACCCATACTTTACCTCTTCATCAGTCTGTACCATCCTACCTCTCTATGAATCCCAGCCCTGTTTCTTGTTTGTAGAGACTTTCCATGCTACTCAACCTATATGGTGTTTCTCTCATCAATTTTTAGAATGTTTACTTGTAAACAGATTTTTATATGTGGTAATAATAGATCCTTATTATTTTATAGAAATTTGAATCATTTTTTGCTGTTGTTCTTGTATTTATGTTCTTTCTTATCCTAGCTAAATTGGAAACTCCTTGGAGTCAGTCTTATTTTCTTTCTAATCACTAGTATAGTTCCTTAAAAACTGTTGTTTGTTGTTAAGTGCTCCCAAATTTGTTCCAACTCACAGGACACTTTATAGAGTTTCTGAGGCTGTAAAATTACTGTGCAAATCTTTGCAGCAATAGAAAACTACATCTTTCTTCCTCAGAGTGACTGATAGATTTGAATTGCTGACCTTGTGGTTCCCAGTCCAGTGTTTATTCTACAGTGCCACTGCACTCCCTTAAATACTGTAAAGTAGCTAATATTTTTGTCAGAATGTGGCTAGAAGAGGACAGGAAGCAGGGAAATGATTGCTTATAAAGAATTTCTACTCTATGTACAGCAATAAAATCTCTTTATGATTTTAGGAAGCTAAGAAGGAACCAGAAACAATGGAAGCACTTAGGAAAGAATGTGTTGCAGGAGGTAAGGAATGTTTTTGTTCAACCCTGATGTGAACTTTTGTTCTCTGCTGTTATTTTATGGTCAAAATATTTCTAATTAAAGATAATGGACCTGCAAATTCTACATTATGGATTGTTGTTGTGAAGTGCCAACGAGTCGATTCCAACTCATAGTGAACCAGCATAGGGTTTCCTGGGAGCAGCTGGTGAACTTGAACTACCAACCATGAGGTTCAAACTGACCTGGCAGTCCAGCGCATTAACCCACAGCACTACATTATGGATAAGATCCACCAGTAGGACTGATTCTTGATTACATTTATATCATTTCCAGAAAATCACATTTACATTGCCTTGCCAGTGAAATTCTAGAGCAATATTTAATTCTGCTACCTATTCATACCTTCTCTGTTCTCAGCCTTGACTGATGTTAAGTGCTGTCAAGTTGGTTCCAGCTTATAGCGACCCCATATAGGGTTCCAAGTAACAACTGATGGGTGTGAGCCACCAGCCTTGTGGCTAGCAGTGCATTGCTTATCTTATAGCACCACACCAGGATGGATGAGGTATTAAGCTAAATTCTTTATATACATATATAGTTTGATTTAGTCTTTCCAAATGCTATCTTAAAGTAAGTGTCCTGCTATTCAGTGTTCTAGCCTGTGAGATACACATAACAACAGGACCTTCTGGTGTGGCTCTGTAGTATAAGCATTGGACTGCTAACTGTAACGTTGGCAGTTCAAACCCACCAGTTGATCCTTGGAAACCCTATACAGGATTACTATAAGTTAGAACCAACTCAACAGCACTTAATAACAAACAACAACAGTATTTAAGTCGGGCTGCCAACCGCAAGGTCAGCAGTTTGAAACTATCAGCGGTTCTGCAGGAGAAAAGATGAGGCTTTCTGCTCCCGTAAAGGTTTACGGCCTCATAAACCCTGTACAGAGTCACTATGAGTTGGAACCAACTCCACGGTACTTAACAACAACAACAACTAGAGATAAGAAAGAAAAAAGATTGACTCCAGAGAGTTTCCAATATAGTTAAGACAAGAACATAAATGCTTGAAAAACGGCAAAAATGATTCAAATGTCTATAAAATAATAAGGATCTATTATCAAAATATAATCACCAAAGGAGCCCTGGTGTGGCACTGT